AATATATATCACAGCTTTCTGGATTGCAAAAAACAACAAATACCAGTTTTATGCAGTGTACCTGAATTACAGTTTTGTCAGTCCTACTACTGTTCCTGATCAACACAGCATTCTGGTATCATCATGAATCACAATCATTTCACCATAAAATCATTGTTATTAAAAATAATACAGATTTCCTAAAACATTTTTGTTTGCAAATATTCATACCTTCATGATGTGAGGAATTTATTAACCATGTTCTTGGAGAGAGCTTTTTAAACATTACTATATCATCATACCATAACAATTCTAGTACATCAATCATAAAAAAATACTGCTCCTAGTGCTTTTTATACTACTTAACATTGTGAATAAATACCTAATCCATCTCTACACCAGATTTACATGACAAGTTAAAAGTGCTTGTATACTTGCTTTCTGCTGGAAACATTTATCAGGTTTTTGGATCAGGACCAAAAACACTTACCACAACTGGCAATACAACTGATCTATAGTACTTCAATATTATTGACAACGACATTACAATAACTTAAATAAAAACCTATTCATTCTGAACAGCTCAGGCAAGGACCACATAAAAATAACTTAACAACAATATTAATGACTTGTAATCCCTTAATTTAATGAGAATTTTGTGCCTTTGCATGACTCCCTTAGTGAGAATACTGTGAAGTCTTGATGTGATAATCAATAAGGTCACAATAATCCTGGGATGGGGAATGGTTTTGGCCTGGTGGTGGACTGAACTCTGAAAGAGACCACTGGTGATGAAAACATTAATTTCATCACTAAAACAGCTTTTCACACACACACACACTTAGGGATGATGGTGATTGAGCCTTTATGTCAAGATGGGCAACCATAGAGAGGAGACATAATACTGGAGAGCGTTCTCACACCCTGAGACTCTAGGTTTCCTTCCCTTGGCGCTCTACATTAAACAATGGCTGAAGTTCTTGCGGTTACAAAGACATTTCTTATCGCTACTGTGGAACTTCTGGATAGAATGTGATGTTTCTTGATTTTCTTCTCCTCTCCTAAAAACTTGTTATGTGGCTATAAATAAATAGAAACCCTACAATACTGTGTTCTTTTGTCACTCTTACTTGAATCACCCATTTAGGTGCTGAAAGACAATTACAGACAATATTACTACTGATGTGTGGTATCTTGTGTAATTTGAGAAATTACTTAAACTTGAAGAACATTGATTAAATCACATTTCCCCCCCCACAAACATCAAATATCAATCTTCAGTGAAAGGTCCTTATGAGATGCAAATCCCTAATCACAACACAAACTGAAAATGAAAAGAAAAATCCCTCCACACTGACAATGAAAAAAGACCTATTCCTCAATGACTGGACATTATAAATACAATATAGTACTGTCTGAATTAAAAACAAAAAATATTACCAATTAGCTATTCCCTTTCCCTGTTTTACTGGATCTTAAGAGTTTGCTTCATCTTGAGAAAGAATACATATCCTTCTTAAAGTACACCAACTGGCAGGCAAAAATACAATGTTCTATAAATTATCAAGGTCATCGATTGTATCAGTCGCTGCTATAGGTTGTTTTTATGTATAAAAATATAACAAACATTAACTTATCGAAAACTTTCCATTCCCACTTACACGTACTTCAATATAATAATCAAGACAGAAAAAACTCAAGTAGAAAGGATTAGAAACATATGAGATACTGTACAAATCAATAGGATGAATAAGCATGCATACAAACATACAAACATACAAGCACAACTTTTTTTTTTCTTAATGAAGTTGATGCTAAAAGAAAAAGAAAGTGGATTTTGAAAGGCATTCTGTGTATGTGTGAGTGTGTGCGTGTGTAAGTGTATTTGTGTGTGTGCGTGTGTGTACAAGTGTGTATACGAGTGTGCAGGTATGTGTATGAGCACATATGAATGTATGAGTGTACATATACATGTATGAGTGTGTGAGTATATATGTGTGTGTGTGTGCATGTGTGTGCATATGTGTATGTACATGTGTGTGTACATGTGTATGTACATGAGTATGTACATGTGTATGTACATGTGAATGTACATGTGCGAGTTCATGTGAGTGTCCATGTGCACGTGTGTGGGCATGCATGTGCATGTGTGTGGTGTATACATATGCCAGTTTCTAGCACTGGTGTGTCTGTTTGTCTCTGCAGGATAATAAAAGGAAAAAAAAGGAAAAAAAAAGAGAGAAAAGAAAAATGGAGAATAAAAAATAGATATCCCAGCAGATATTATGCCAGTCAGTGTCACATTTCCAGAAATCTTAGCCCATTAAGATAAATGTGGGATTTCCTATTTTATGACTGGGTATCAGCTGTATTGTCTGTTTGTGTCAAAATCCTATCTTATTTCCTCTTTGTTTTTATTTTGTTGAGGAGTGAAGTGGGGGGTGGGAGGAGGAGGAGGAGGAGGAGGAGGAGGAGGAGGAGGAGGAGGAGGAGGAGGGGAGGAGGAAGAAAAGGAGGAAGAGGAGGAGAAGGAGGAGGAGGAGGAGGATAAGGATGAGGACGAGGAGGAGGAAAGTAAAGTGAAGAAGGATGCAAGAAAAAGTAAAAACAGAAAAAGAATACAAAATAGGAAAATATAAGAAATTAAACCATGCCTATCTATGAGTCACTAACAAGAAAGAAAAGAACACAGGAGAATTAAACAATGATTCCTACATCCGCAAAGTCCTCTTTCTTTTCATATCCACTGAACTTTAACATATCTAAAATCCTGGACTTTGATGTGATAATGTTCCTTTTTTTCTTCCACATGTGCACAAAACTCTTATAGATAGTAAATCCTGATTCTCAGAAAAAGTCAATCCAATTGGCTAAATATAAGATATTTAGAGAAATCACTTCTCCAAGTACTTTCTGTGTCATAAGGTTATCAAGTATGCATCACACAGTGTTTCTAAAATCAATGGAAGTACTTCTTATGAATTTCGTATTTTCTTAAGAGAGGTTTGAAGTGATATTGTGCATAAAAAAAAAAAAAAAAAAAGACTTTTAAACATCTTGGGTCACAAACAGAGCAAACAAAAAGTCCATGACACAGATAATAAAATAGAAGTTATAATGACCATGTCCTGCTTGGATTTCTTGGGCATGAATTAATTGAAAAGATATTCTACTACAGATGCCTGAAGTGTGAATAACAATCTTTCCTATTCAAGTTTTCCAAAAAGGGACAGGAAGAGCTGCTGCCCAAAAATAATTTAACAAAGAAAATCAAAAACATTGAATGCCCCTTCTGGACTTCCTATAAGTTTGAGCTGTTCTTCTGCCAACCGTTTAAGCTCTGTGTGTCTTGCACTGAATGATTAATTTAATAAATTCTTCTCAAAACCAATTTGGAATGTGAAACACTACACCATATTCAGTTCCGTGCAGTTCATAAAAAAGGAACACATACAATTTCCCAAATGTTCAAAGATAAATCTTCACGCGTAATCAAACTGCAAGGTCAAGCGACATTGAAAAATAGAATGACTGTAAAGCAACATAATTCCTCTCTTCTCCTTTCCTCTACTTTAAAATTTCCTTTCCCATTTGCATTTCACTCAATCAATCACTCCAAAGGTTCTAATTGACAACAATGTACACTTACACACACTCAAGATCATCCTGTTATCAAAGAACAATACTCTGTTCCAGAGGATTAGTACTATTTATGCTTTTCTTTATCCTGTTGGCATTTAAAATGTAAGTGGAATTGTTACTCTTATCACATAAATTCCTGTAACTTAACCAATATCTATATATATATATATGAGAAAATATTACTAAATAAACTAAACTCTTCAAAAGAAAAATACAACTAAGGATGTTATATTTTGTCCTTTCTATACTTATATTCAAAGCAGTTTGGCTGACTCATAAAAATCCTATAGCTTATAACATTATTCTTAAAATCAAGATGTTTACTCTCAGACTGCAGAGACATTGTTAACTATCTGAGAGGAGATTCACAAAGATGCTTAATGACATTTTAAAGTTGAAGGCAGACTGTTCTTTCTCAGTATTCTAACTGTATGCAGTCCTTGTGCTAGCTTCTCAAATACATATTGCATAAGGTCTTTATTATTGCACACTAAAGTTCTTTGAAACCATAACTGTTCTACTGAACATTGATCTTAAGATAAAATGTTTCCAAGAAAATAATTTCTTTTAAAGCTTTTCTAAAACCATCTAAATAGAAATAGGTCTGTTCTTCTGCCATCATACACAGTTGCAATTAATGCTTATAGTTGTCTTGGTTTTGAGTATACTTCTACATACATACACAAGAAAAATATCAAATCACAGATTTTAGGAAAGCCTCCAGTTATGTGCTTCCAGACTTTGGCTGCCTCCAATACAGATAAAACAGCTGTTAACCTGTTCCAGCTTATGGGAAGCTTCATAGTGACCAGATAAACAGGTTGTTGACACCCAAAATGAAGATAATATTGTCCACTGTTCATGGACAATTTTAACAAGGTATTATCTCAAGAGGGAGATAACTTACCCTAAAATACAAAATGAATATCTTAAATATGGAAGGTTATGCTGTAATGAAGATTTAAAATGTCTAGCATGGAAGCTGTCCTGACTCATACCAGTATTTATCTTCAGGATGTCTATAGGAACATATTGATGGAAACATCTACAGAGGGCAGTGATCAAAAGACCCATCTGTAAATAGTCTTCCCTGCGATGTCTCTCAAAAAAGAAAAAAATACAAATATATACATCTTCTCTTCATAATAGCCATATTGGACTGCGACACATATTTCACATATACACCTTTGTGTCTTTTAAAAACTGTGTCTTATTATTAGGTGTGTATCCCTGCACCAAATCTGCTATTTTCATTCAGTGCAGTACAAGAAATCCTCACCATCTACTTTGCTTTTGTTGTTCTGCAGAGAGAATTTCTTTTTTTGATATACAATACCTCTTTATGATGCTGGAATTCTCCCGCCATTAATTCCATCTTTCGCACAATTCTCAGCTGATTACTGAGTCTGACAGCACAATGGAAAGCATATATTGGTCAGTGTCAGAGATCTTGCTGGTGGTACGGACACATGGATGGAGGTCAGATAGGGTCAGCGGTCGCCAAGTTCTGCTCAGGCCAGCTGACACATCCTGCCAGAAAGAAATTGATCATGAGGCTACAAGTCTAGTGCTAAAATTATCTAAAATCATTATCACATAATAATCACTAGTAACATCCCCTCAAAACAAAATGAAAAATATACATATATATACAAATGTGATTGAATTCTATGTATATTTACTGGATATATATATACATATTCATCATCATATTCATCTATATTTACCTCTCTCTATGAACCTATCAATCTATCTATCTCTTTTATCTATATCTCTATATACACATATCAGATACTCTGATCACTCCTAAGGAATGCAAACTTAACATCTATGCACTAATCAAAACTATCAATGCAAGAAAAACTATAAGAAAAGAATGAAACAACATAGTTATACATAAACAAAAATAACCATCATCATGAACATCAGATACAAATAAGATAACAGGCAGACACTACCTCTGCAATGTTCTCAATTCCTCATCAGCAAGTTCGTGGGACTCATCTGCTTCAAGACAATCTTCTGGGATGTGCAGCTCCTTTAGCCCTGCCCCTCGCAGACGGGCTATGGCTACGACATCACTCCCTCCATACCCATAGCCTGAAACAGTACAGTATGTAAATATGTACATATATGTATATATATCATTAACATTTTACACAATTTGAAAAGAGAGATTTATGAAAAATTAATGCAATACTTCAATGATACAGAGACAAACTGAATTTCTTATCACACGTAAATAATCCCATTTTCAAATGAACTCTTTTGTTCTTTTCAGTCCAGGTATAGAGAGGCCTTGTTAAACTTTACAAAACAACATCATACAAATTTCTAAAAAAAATTAAGAAAACAGCTTCACATTATCCAAACATTTATACTTTAATTACACTCTTGAAACAAATATTTATACTTTAGTTACACTCTCTTGAGATCAAAACAACCTGACAATTATAAATATCAATATCGACCAACTAGTGCACTGTTCACTTGATTACTAGGTTCACCTTGTCTAACCAGTTTACCCAATTCCTTGAATTTTTGGGAAAATAGTTTTTTTTTATTTCTGATACTTTAATTATCATTGTTAAAGTTGTTATTATTATTACTGATATAATCATCATTATAGTACTATTACCAATATCAATAGTAATAAATTGGTAGATCTGGTAATGTATAGTAATTGACTCCTTGATGATTAAGACTTATAAAGTCCCATATGTGTAAAAAAAAAAAAAAAAAAAATTAAATTAAAAAGTCACAGTGGGCATGGCATACATACATGCCAATCCAACACACTACTGACAAATTTCTTAGTCAATACTTACTATCAATAACTACCAAACACACTAGCCTATTAGTCACAGCTAAACATATATCCTTACATACCACAATATGAAGTCACACATTTTATTACAAAATAATTACTGCTGCCTACCACACAGAGTAAGGTGCTCAAGGTTTTTGCATTTCCAGGCCAACATCACAAGTGGATCTGGTGTTTCCTGGTCATCGTCACGGCCCTCAGTGAGCATGCCCCAACCACTGTGGTCTAAAGCATCAACAATGGTGAGATGACGTAGCGTCTCACTGTACCACATGGTCATCAAGCGAAGAGCTGCTACATTGATCTTAAAAGAGAGAAAAATAATGATATGCAAGTATGATATGGTATCATATTCATTAGCCTACTAATGCCAAGTGACCTTCAGTCATGTCGTGATGAAGATTTCACCAACATCAGATGATATCTGATCATGTTACAAGCCTAGGTCCCAGCAGCTCAAGAGCCTAACCATGAGCGTAACTGCAGCATATACAACTGTCTATTGAACAAGGCTAGAAAAGTAACTTTTGCATCACTAATATGTTTGTCCTTGAAAATATCAATTGAACAGAAGCTTGATAAATACAATCATAAATAAGAAATGGTTATGTTTCATTTGCAAAAACAACTTGCTGCTGATCTTTGTACATGGCCAGAAAAGTGTTAATATACAAACCCAAAGGATAATCAATTTATTATCACGCATTAATCATGTAGTGAGCAACACTATCATGATGGGAGCTGTTTTCTCTGCATTCCTATGGAGCAAAGAGAATACCCCAAAATTTCATAACTACTTACTTGATATAAAATTCACAAACTTTAGTATATCAGTTCCAAGTCACCTGGCTAAAAGTAAACTTACCACTGTACTGGAAAAAAATATATACTGCAATAAGTAGATCGAGATATAAACTAAAGAGAGAGCAAAATACATTCACTTACCCACTCACAGAAGAAGGCCCTGAAGTGTGTGAGGGGCATGGATGGGTGTAAGAGTCCTGAGCCAAGTTGTTCCACTCCATCATATGAATGCATCAAGTTCATCACCAGGGAACACTGTGGGCTTCAAATATAAAAATACAATATTTAAATCTGAATTGCTCATGTGTTATTTATTAAGTAGATATCACACTTAATAATACATAGTATACATTTACCTGCAAAATTTAGCTGAAAATCACCAAAGATTTTGAGGAAATTTTGTGTACATATATACCTAAACCTAAATACAGCTAAAAAATGTCACTGATTCATCCTAATCTATTTGCTACATTATAATCAGAACCATAAATGCAAAATCTTCACCAAAGTACTTACTGTTGTTGTTTGAAGCGGTACCACATATACTCTGTTGTCCCACGGTGAGTTTGGTCGATTCCATGGACATGTAGGACAAGCCGCCTTAGAGGTGCATTGTAGGGGGTGGACAGGACACTCAGTAAACGATCACTCATGTAGTCATAATCTAGGGTTAGGACCTGTTTGGAAGATCGTTTTAAATAATAGTTTTACATCGACTAAGTTCATCATATATCTTTCCAAAAGTTTTCTTCAAGTGCAATATCAATAAAGTAAAGAGGAAGGAGTTGTCAGTGGTGTGGACACAAATACCTGAATTATGATGTGCTGTATTTTTATAAACAATACAAGGACAAACCAATCAATCTGTACCTCCAGCTATTAACCCTTCAGTGACAGGTATATCTATAGTTATCATGACACGTGTCATGACTCGCAACAGGTGGGTCGGTTGAACACAGCTTTGGCCTAGCCACAAATTCTAGACTGTTGCGTAATATTACAACACGAAAAATTCAGGTCCCGTTATCATAGGGTTAATAGAGCAAGTACATATAGCTGGGAGTTTTATTAACCTTAACTTGATACATATTCTAAGAATATAAAGGGGGGGGAAAAAAAAAAAAAAAAAAAAAAAAAAAAAAAAAAAAAAACAGGATTTTAAGAAGTTATAAGATGACATGAAACGTTATAGCTAAGATTGTTTTAAAAATTCCAAAAATATTAATAAAATTACTTTCCTTCATAATTGAGGCTGAAATAAAAATTTTCATGATAGCTTGAGCATTACAAATTACTGTTGTTCACTCATGAACCACTGTACCACTTGTCTGACTGTAAAAATATATCATACATATCTTTAAATATTTACATCGCTATAACTAACCACCCCATACCTGAAGGTTAGTAAACGATGTAAAGTTGTCGGGCGTTATGTCAAGCAGAGCATATGAGTCCGGATCATACTTCACTGAGGCCAAGCATAGGGTGTTGAGGCTGCTCGACTGGTGACGGGCCAAAAGGGGGAGGAAGATGTCTGCTTGGTCTGTGAGGTCTTGAATGCATCCTAAAGACAATCCCCTAAGGCTCCTGCTATTTGTGATGATGCTCTGCAAGGATTCCTGTGCGCTGGGGAGTCAGAGTAGTCAGCTTTAATTAACGTCACTGTCCATATCAATATCTCTTCATTTATTTATCTATCCGTGTTAGTATATTTTAAAACATATTGAAGCATATTATACATTATATACAGAGATAATAATAATTTGAAAATAAGAATTATCTAAATCATAATGAAGCATATCATACATTATTTACAGAGATAATAATCATTTACATATAATAATTATCTAAATCATAATGAAGCATACAATACAATAATTAGAGAGAAAATAACCATATACATATAATAATTATCTAAATCATAATGAAGCATATCGGTCTTTATATACCGAGACAAAAATCACATACAAATAATAATTATTTACATATCCTGAGTAAAACCATAATGCTGTAACAGAGACATTAACTCAGTATCATGGAGTAGTGGATGTAAATGGAATAGGGTATATCAGATATGCAGATAACGGCAGAACAAATTCATTTCTGATATTTACAACAAACATAATAATTTTGGCAGAACACTAAGTTTGGGCTTATTTTCAGGATGAGGAGGGGGGGGGGGGGGCAGATTTTTTTATGATCATGTAAGTTGTCAAAGATACGGTATCTGAATATACATCTGATTACCAATATACATTATACATATGTTTTTGTATTGTTCCCTTGATTACTTATCTTCCATACTGATAGCCAGTATGATAATGATAATGATAATAATGCTTAGAATGATAACTGATGATGATGATAAATAATGAAGATGATGATAACTGAAATAAATGATGACTGATGATGATGATGATGATGATGATGATGATAAAGACAACAATGACCACAATCATGATGATGAAGACAACAGCAATAAAAACGGACCAACACGGAAAAAATAAAAAGACCACAACATACCTTTCAATAAACTGGTATGACGACCTTGAACATGGCAGGCAGCGGGAGTGAGATGTATTGTTCTTATTGTAATTGTTATTGTTGTGGCGGAAATAATATGGCCGGTCATGTCCCTTAACAAATGTGTGACAGTGAGTTGGCAGCAAGATGAGTTCCTCCACCTGAAAATATTTTGAAGATATAGTAAATGCTGATCATAACATTGGGCGAATATCTTCTATTCATTAACAAACATTGAGGGCATGTGAATTAACAAAGAAAGACAGGAGAAAGAAATAGAAACAGGGTAAGGGTAGGGGTAGGGGTAGGGTAGGGGTAGGGGTAGGTAAGGGTAAGGGTAGGGGTTAGGGTAGGGGTAAGGGGTAAGGGGTAAGGGTAGGGGTAAAGGTAGGGGTGGGGTGGGGTAGGGGTAGGGGTAGGGGGTAGAAGTAGGGATAAGGGAAAGGGAAGGGTTAGGGGGTAGGAGTAGGGGTAAGGGGTAAGGGTAAGGTAAGGGGTAAGGGAAAGGGTAAGGAATAGGGGGTAGGGGTAAGAGTAGATGTAGAGGTAGGGTAAGAGAAGGGGTAGGGATAGGAGTAAGGGTAGGGGTAGAAGTAGGGGTAAGGGTATGGGTAGGGGTAGGAGTAGGGGTAAGAGTAGGGTAGGGGTAGGGGTAGGGGTAAGGGTAGGGGTAAGGGTAAGGGGTAAGAGAAGGGGTTGGGGTGAGGGTAGGGGTAAGGGTAGGGTAGGGGTAAAGGTAGGGGTATGGGTAAGAGAAGGGGTAGAGGGTAGAAGTAGGGGTAAGGGTAGGGGTAGGGGGGGGAGAAGGGGGTAGGAATTGGGGTAAGGGTAGAGGTAGGGGAGAGGGGTAGGAATTGGGTAAGGGTAGAGGTAGGGATAGGGGTAGGGTAGGAGTAGGGGAAAGGGTAGAGGTAGAGGTAGGGGTAGGAGAAGGGCTAGGGGATAGGGATAGGAGTAAGGTAGGGGTAGGAGTAGGGGTAATGGCAGGGGTAGGGGTAAGGGTAAAGGTAAGGGTAGGAGTAAAGGTAAGGGGTAGGGGTAAGGATAAGCATAAGGGTGGGGTAAGAGTAGGAGTATGAGTAGGGGTAAGGGTAGAGTAGAGGTAGAGGTAGGGGTAGGAGAAGGGTAGCAGATAGGAGTAAGGGTAGGGGGTAGGAGTAGGAGTAGGGTAAGGGTAAGGGTAAGGGTAAAGGCAAGAGTAAGGGTGTAGAGGGTAGGGGGTAGAGTAGGAGTAGGAGTAAGGGTAAGGGTAGGAGTAGGGGATAGGGGGTAGGGTTGGGTTGGGGTTGGGGTGGGGTAAGAGTAGGGGTAGGGGGCAGGGAATAGAGTAGGGGGTAGGAGTATGGTGGGGGTTGGGGTAGGGGTAGGAGTAGGGTGGGGGTTGGGTAGGGGGTAGGAGTAGGGTGGGGGTTGGGGTAGGGGGTAGGAGTAAGGGTAGGGGTAGGATTAGAAAAGAAGGAGGAAGTTGAGGACGAGGAGGAGGAGGAGGAAGTCGAAGAAGAGGAGGAAGAAGTTGAGGAAAATAAAGTTGAAGGGGAAGAGGAGGAAATTGAGGTGGAGGAGAAGGAGGAGGAAGAGGAAGAGGAGGAGCAACAAGAAAAGATCAACAAAAGACAATAACAACAGCTTCAAACAAACATGCGCATCACACAAACATATGTATTAGGAGATATATCACCACCTTTACTATTACCATTAGTTTCTTTAAATGTTATTTTCTTTCTCTCCATCTTATCAAGTTGACGATTCTACATTTTCAGTATCGTGATCCTCCCTCTCCTCTCCTCGTCTTCCTCTCCTTCTCCTTCTTCCTCTCCCTTATCTCACTACCCTTTCCCTATCTCTACATTCTCTCTTCCTAACTCTCACCCCCTCCTCTTTCTCATTCTCTGTTCTCTCTCTCACCCTTCCCTTTCTCTTTCTCTCTCTCTCTCTCTCTCTCTCTCTCTCCTCTTCTCTCTCTCTTCTCTCTCTCTCTCTCTCTCTCTCTCACCCTCCCCTTTCTCTCTCTCCCTTCCCTTTCTCTCTCTCTCTCCTTTCCTTTCTCTCTTCTCCTCTCTCTCTCTCTCTCTCTCTCTCTCTCTCTCTCTCTCTCTCTCTCTTCTCTCTCTCTCTCTCTCTCTCTCTCCTTTTCTCTTCTCTGCTTTCTCTCTCTCTCTCCTTTCTCTCTTCTCTCTCCCTTTTTCTCTCTCTCTCTCCCTTTCTCTCTCTCTTCTCCCTT